CAACCTAGAATTCACTGAGTTTTGATCAAAAGACTGAAGATAGGTTAGGTATGCAGTTTTGAAACCAGATTTGAGTTCAACATGAATTTTATAGAATTTGAAAAGGAAATCATGAGAATTTGTAAATTTTATTATGAAAACCTTAAAGAACATTCAAAAAGAGTGTAGCAAACCTAAAATTCTAACAAGTTTCAATTAAGAAAACTGAAATTAAAAGCAGTTTGGTTGGAGAGAAAATGAAAATGACAGCAGATCAGGTTCTGATAAGAAAAGTGAAAGGTAAAATATCAGTTTATGCTGTAATTTGCATCAGGAAAGATATATGGAAAGCATAAAATTCTTATAAGGCAGCTGGTTAGTCATAAAATATGACTTAAACAAGGTTCAGGAAAGTATGAATAAGCATCAATAAATATCATACAAACATTTATGTGAAACCATGGCCTCTTACCCCAAAACCCCTTAGCTTCTGACAAATTATTAAAAGAAGTTCTTTTTGTAATAGAATACAAGATTCAAGTACCTTCAATTATCATAAATTTATACTTTTATACAATTCTCTTGATTCGAAAGATTTTCTTTTAAAACAATTACGTTTCTCACTTCTTCTCACACTCACCCAAGCACATTCAACATATTAAATCAAACAGTAAGCAAAGATTTCTATATTAAACCAACAGAAATAGAGCAAAAATCAAGACAAAGCATTTACATATATATATATATATATATGAGATAAGTGAGAGCAACCTTATGCTTGAGTATTTAAAGAGTTTTTCAGTGACTAAAAAGATTAAAAGAGCTATCTCAGTATTGCAAAAAGTGAAAAACTCATGAGCTTTCTTAAAAAGTCCTCATCTCCTCTTTGAGAAAGTCACTTGCCTCATTGCTAAGTTGTCAATTTTCTTGACTTGAATTTTCTTTCTCACCATTCTCTTCTAAGAAAAAAGCTAGGAAAAAAAAGAAATTACAGAGAAGAAAGAGGGGGTTTAAATTTTGAAAAAAAATTTTAGTCGTGCCATTTTTTCACGATAGTGGCGTTTACTTAAAAAAAATGTCACTATTTGCAAAAAGGATTATTGAAGATATTTCAGGCAAAAAACCGCATTCAATAATCTTCTTAAATTTTTTAGAGGGGATTATTGCAGAAAACACCTTCAATAATCAGCTTAAATTTTGATAAAGAGATTATTGAAGGCGTTTTTGGCCAAATATGCCTTCAATAATCCCCTATAGTGTTTTAGAATGGATTATTGAAGGTGTTTTCTGCAAAAAAATATTTTAGTAATCCCTTTTATTTTTTATGAGGGGATTATTGAAGGTGTTTCAGGTAAAAAATACCTTTAATAATTCCCTTAAATTTTGATGAGAAGATAAGTTTTCTTTTCTTTAATAAAATAATAAAAATTAATTAATAAATTAAGAATCAGTAATATAAATAAGGAAAAAGAAAATTTTATCCAATGATGGGATTCTAAAAGTATTCCAAGTAATGATGCTTTACGAAATCCCTAGGTGAGAAGATTTTTTTAAATATTACCAGTGTGTTGGAATATTTATAAAAAATCTTTAATATAATAAAAAATTTTTTCTTCAAAATTTAAATTAAAAATAAAAAAATTAATAAAATTTCTAAATAAAAAAATAAAAAAATAAAATATGTGCATTAACATATTATCATTTGCATTGCATAGTTATTCTAATACTAATAATATTAATTTATAATATCTAATAACTTTAATTATTAAAATTCATATCATTATAGGTTTTTTATAAATTATACTGAATTAATGAATTATTATCTAAATTTCATAAATGTTTAAATTAGTTTAATAATATTTATAATTTAATTATATATAATTTAATTTATATATAATTATTGGTATATAAATATTAAATAAATTAATTAATTTTCACACAAGTTTATAATTAAAATATAACTATAATAAATTTAATAATAATAAAAATTAAATATAATAGATAATTAATTTATATGATTAATTTTTAACAATTAAAAGGAAAAGTAAGCAAAATTGACAGCTTTTAGACCTATTTAGAGCTTAATTAATGAAAAGAAAGAAAAAGCAATCTACTGCTATTGCATAGCAGTCGATTACCCTTTCTTTGGAACTATTAAAAGTATTTTTGATCAAAAATACCTTCGATAATTCCTTTCAATTTTTTAGAGGGGATTATTGATAGTGTTTTTTGGTCAAAAACTCATTCAATAATTCCCTCCAATTTTTTAGAGGGGACTATTGAAGGTGTTTTCTGCAAAAAATACTTTCAATAATCCTTTTCATTTTTTTATAAGGGGATTACGCCTTCAATAATCCCTTCGAATTTTTTATGAGAGATTATTGAAGGTGTTTCAAGCAAAAAATGCCTTAAATAATCTACTCATAAAAAATAAAGGCGATTATTGAAGGCATTAAAACGCCTTGAATAATTTGCCTAAAAAGTTGTAGAGGTTTATTGAAAGCATTTTTTGTCAAAATGCCTTCAATAAATCTTTCGTCAATGAATCTACCAAAAATGGGGTAGCATTGTCGGTTAAAACATACAGTCGTTAATCATAAGATTGTAGATTCGATCTTTCTTTTTAGCATTTTGTAGGTGCCAAAAACGCCTTCAATAATCCCTTAAAAAATTCAAAAAATATTGAAGAGAGAAATTGAACCTACGATCTTATAATTAATTATCGTATACTCTAACCGATAACGTCACTCTATTTTTGATAAATTTATTAACAATTTTTTAGAGGAATTATTAAAGATGTTATTTTGTAAAAAACATCTTCAATAATCACTTCTATTCTTTATGAGTAGATTATTTAAGATGTTTTTGTTTGAAACGCTTTCAATAATCCCTCATAAAAAAATTGGAAGGGATTATTGAAGGTGTTTTTTGTACAAAACGCCTTTAATAATCTTCTCATAAAAAATAAAGGAGATTATTGAAGGTTTTTTTTGATAAAAAATACTTTCAATAATCCTCTATAATTTTTTAAAAGAATTATTGAAGGCATTTTTTTTGTAGAAAATGCCTTCAATAATTGCTTTTATTTTTTATGAGAGGATTATTCAAAGCATTTTTTGTAAAAAAATATCTTCAATAATCACTTCAATTTTTTAGAAAGGATTATTCAAGGTGTTTTAATCAATAAATGCCGCTAATTTTTGTCTTTAATGTCATTTATAAGTAACAACACCGCTATTTGAATATTTAATGGCGTTTTGATAATAAACGCTTCAAGTTTTATAAAAACACAAAAGTTAGCAGCGTTTGTAAGTGAAATGTCACTACAAAACTGCAACTAATCTTTCATTTTCTTGTAATGTAAGAATGTCTACAAGTATTGATTGTTGAGTGATTGATATATTTTGATGTATGTTTATAATTCTCTATAACTAGTGGATCTTATTTTTCATCCGTGAACGTAGGTCGGTTGGATCGAATCATGTTAAATTATTATCTTTTATGTGATTGATTGATTATTTGATTATATTTCCATTGATGTGATTGGATCAAAGCTTTTTAGCCTAACACATAGAAGTATATAAAAGAAAACCCCTTTTATAAAGTTGGACGAGTTTATTGCTCACCAATCAAAATGATTCTTGACTGTTCCTTCTTTTTGGGCCAAATATTACATATTTGAAACTTTCAAACTACACCTGTAGGAAGCTAACATATCTATCTAATATTCGTCAGCTGTTATCTAGCTGTAAGATTCTAGTCTTCTTTCATTTTTTTTCTTGAGTTATCTACTAATCTGATATTTCTTAGGTCTGAATGGTTTGTCATCCTAGTTGTACAATCTAGGTAATGTATGATGGGCTGAAGTTTGTGTCTGATGCATAGTCTAAATCAGCCATGGTTTCCTTGGGCTATTTTTTAGTTTGTTGAGTAATTGCTGCTGCTTTATGATGGATAAGCTCTCTAATAATACCCATTTTAAGTTACCCTGTCAGTATATATTATTATGTATGTACTGCTCTACATTCTTATGTAAGCTTGTAACAAATTGAGTGCTCATTCCCACTGGCTGTTTTCTGGTTGAGACTGTACAAATTGAAAAATTCAAGGCATTTGTGGCTCAAATGTACTTATTGCGATGGGACTGACCTTGATGAATTGGATTTATTCTCAATCAATGAATTCATTGAAACTAAATGGCAGAAACTAGATGAATGAATTTAATGTCCTAAATGTTGTTTTTGTTAATTGTTTTCATTGTGGTATAAAGATTTGTATTTGCTTCAAGTTTTACAACTATCTTTGTCTAAAAGATAACATTCTTATTTATATCTTTTGCAGGACAAACCAACAAGATGAATTAGAAGTTCTATAGGGAATGGGGAGTTGGACAAGGAGCATGGGGATCCAAATGGAAAAACCCATATTTAATTTCACTGGTTGTTGTGGCTTGTACATCTAGGTTATTGGTTTTCTTCTTTCTAGCATGTTGTAAAGTATCAATTCAGTTTCATAATGTTAGTCCAGCTGTAGCAGAAAGCTGCATGGTTTGGCCTTTTTCTTTGATAGGACTACTGGAGTTATGAATATCTTACATTGTACAGAAACACAAATTTTCCTCATGGAAGGTGGTCAGCTTCACATCTTACTTATACTACTGTGTTTTGATACTCTGATTATGCTACTGTGTTTTGATAATCTGAGTATTCTGTTAATCGGTATTAGGATTAATCCAACTACCATTAGGTTTGTGTTGCTATATTTGATGCAACCGTATATATATGTAATAGTATTCTTATGAAAACGGCTACCGATTGTTTTAAACTTGTTAGAAACCTTTATGAACTTGTCTTAAATAATTAATACCAAATGGTTAAGTCTGAAACACTTAAGCAAACTCAGTAGACAACAACAACAAGGATTAGGTATCATAAAAAATAGCATAGGTTCACCAAATTTTACAAAGCAAACAGAACGTACAAAAAATCTATATCTTTTGGATGCTCATCGTCCTGGGGTGTCTAATGAAAGTGACAGGTTTGTTGGTGTGCCACTGTATTTAGTATTTGATGATGAACTGTGAGCCGGTATAATTCTGCTTGTTCATGCAACAAGCTCAAAGCCTGCCCACAGTTAGCTTGACCCCATGGATGTTTCTCAAGTTTTCTCAACTCTATCAGCTCTATAAGCACTTCTTTCATTGAAGGTCTTTCATCCGCCCTCAACATCAGACATCTCATAGCCAGGTGAGCAACTGCTATCAGTTCTTCTCTATTCTCCTCGTTTGCAAGTTCGGGCTCTAGGATCTGGAGGAGACGATCCTGTTGCATTGATAAAATGAAGTAAGAAGATAGGTTTCTTTCAGGCTCTGGTCTTGCAAAAGATACTGGTATCTCACCAGTGAGTAGTTCCACTAACACAACCCCATAGCTATAAACATCACTCTTTTCTGTCAACTTGCTTGTCTGGAAATATTGGGGGTCCAAGTAACCAAATGTACCTTGGACTAATGTAGTAATTTGAGTTTTATCGATAGGAATCAACCTTGAAGCTCCGAAATCTGACACTTTGGCAATGTAATTTTCATCGAGTAATATGTTGGCAGATTTGACATCTCGATGGATGATTGGAATCGAGGCTGCAGAGTGAAGGTAAGCAAGTGCGCTAGCAGTTTCTGTGGCGATCCTTAGACGAATGTCCCAGGATATTGCGCCTGCCTTTTCGGAATTGTGAATGTGATAGTGAAGGCTTCCGTTGGGGACAAATTCGTAGACCAGTAAAGGGACTTCAGTCTCCAAACAACATCCCAAGAGCTTGACTACGTTGCGGTGGTTGATTTGGCTAACAACAACAACTTCATTGATAAATTGTTCAATTTGGGAACGAGTCTCTATTTTCGATTTCTTGACAGCAACTATTTGATTGTCTCCTATGATAGCTTTATAGACCGTTCCATTCCCTCCTTCGCCGAGGATTCGACTCTTAGAATAATTGTCGGTGGCCTTTGCCAACTCCTTGGCCGTAAAAATTTTTGTTGTCTCAACAGCACTTTGACCGGAAGAATTTTTCTGCTGCAATAATAGTCCCCCATTTTCAAGAAAGAACTTTTCTCTGAGCTTGATTAGTCTTCTTCTCTTTAAGAAGAAGTAAGTGGAAAACACTAACGGAAGCAGAACCAAAACACTGACGAAAGCTGCATGAATTAATCATATATATATATATATATATATATATATTAAGAGCTCTTCCTCGAAAAGAAACAAAAAAGAAATAAAGCAAAACCGTGTGTTGAGTTATATAGTTACCTAGAACAAGCAGGAGCAGCTGAGAAAGAAATTGCTTGCAATGATAACTTCCCGGTGTATTAATACACTTATGATTGCCTTCACATGGATTGTTAATGCACTCATCGATGTCTTTCGCCAAATAGAACAAATGACATCAGTATATACATATATATATATATAGGTTACTGACTTACATAGAGTAGTATTATGGGGAAAACATGAGCACTAATTTATAGGGGAAATTAAAAAAAAATTGACAGAAACATGATGTACTGTTTATATGCTCAAACTTCAACAACATTTAGAATATTAAAAAGATTAATTATAGACGATGTTGAACAAGGGTGATGAAAGAGTTGAGTAGTATATAGGGAATAATAAGTAAGCCATACCTTGGCATCCCGGACTACAATAAGGGTTCCCTTGGTAACCTTTTTTGCAACTGCAGCTATAGCCTTGACTATCCTTTACTTTGTAATCCACACAGTCGCTATTCCCCTTGCAGGCATAAGTGTTCGAGTCTCTTTTAGCTTCTTTGCAAGTGTGGTTGCTCACAGTCCAATCAAGAACCACTGTAGAATGCTGTATCTTAGTAAAAATTTTATGCTCATCATCAAGATCAGATGCCTCGAAACTATAGTTGTGTTGGTCCACTAAGAAAGCAGATCCACAACGATAGGGCATCGAGATCTTTGTTTCATTAAGCACTTCCTTTATTTTTGATTCATTGAAAATGTTACTCACAATCGTTTCGACTATTTTAAGACGATCAGTAATAGGGACCTCGCAGCACCCAATCCCAGAGCAAGATCCGTTAGTCTTGTCCTCGCGCTTAACGTGACACAAAGAGAGGCACCCAGTGAGAAGCTCTCTCTTTCCAAGTTTGATGATGCCCAGAGAGTTACATCCAGTTACAACGAACTTGTTTTGAGACAGTGCGAACGGAGTATCAGTCAAATTAATCATGGTTGTCTGTCCATGAGTTTCGGATCCATTGAGTGCCAAGCAGGTGTGAGTCACAGATGCAGGGACAGAATTCCTTACTCGTACCCGATTTTCAGCTAAAGAAATGTTTACTACCTCATATTTCGTAGCATCTAAAAATGCTTTTGCTGGGTTTTGGGAAGTGTTGCAAGTAATGCGAAATCCCTTTAGATAGCTTCCCTTTTCTACGCCAAAAGGGTAAGGAATTTTAAGATGCCCACAACTGGAACTGCAGTGTTTAGGCGCCTTGGGTTGTTCTTCCACAGCTACTACAGCTGATACCATAGATGTTGCCAAGACGAGCCATTGGAGCTTCGGCAAAGGATGCTTTAACGAAAACATGCCTTTCTTTTATGGTTGCGAGAGATCAAATGACTAATTATAAGCAACCGATTCAAGATAATATAAAATGTTATGACAGTGCTATAAAGCCACTCATCTTATACAATCATTTCACACACTCACTTCTTATTTTAAGGATTTATGTGAAAGATATTAAAATTTGTGTGAATATTTTTTAATATATTTAAGTAAATTTATATATAAAATAATTATTTTTATTTTATAAAAATTTAAAAAATATATAAAATTAATAAAAATATATAATTTGATTTGATTATTTTTTTTCAATTTTTTACATTTAAATTTTAAATTCGGTTCAAATTAAATATATATTCAATATTTAAAATTAAACTAAATAAAATTACAAAATTCAATTCAAATCAAACTAACTACTAAAATTTTAAATTAATTTTAAATTTTTTAATTTTTTTCACTTCTAACTTTTTTATTGAAATTCTTTAATATTCACTTTTATTCTATATATAAAAATTATGACCGAGGATGGATCATAAGAAAGAGTTTGAAGGGACTTAAAAACTGATTAAAAATTAATTCAGTTGGTAGAAACTTTCCTTTTGATTCTATAAATAAAATTGAAAGAAATACATTTTGATTATATGTAAATATAAATTAATTGAATAAATTTCAATAAAAATTGGTGAAAATAATTAAAATTTAAGGTTTGAATATAAAATATTCAAATTGAAATTTTATGATATATTGATAGATAATATGTAAATTTAAAAGATTTTATAAATTTTATAAATTTTTTTATAAATTGATGATTTATCTTAATTTTAAAGATAAATTAATCTTTTTTATTTTTAATTTTTTTCAACAAAAAAATTAACTGTATTAATTCAAAATATAAACAGTGATTTCTTTATAAACAAAGTTGTAGTTTGAAATAAAAAAAATGTTATAAGTTTTATTTTTTAAAAATAATTTTATAAATTAATTAAATTTAAATTTAAATTAATATCGTCGTTTAAAAAAAAAACTTTTTACATCATTGCTTACATCACATTTTTAAATAATTGATTCTCTTTTATCTTAACAGCTGTATGTCATTATAAATGAGTGATTCATGTAGCTCGAAACTCCATTTTCTTTCTGACAATAGGTACTGCTGTATGTCATTGTTCTATAAGTTGCTTGAGTCAAGAGGTAACTATTAATAGGTATTTAAATCTTTTCTTTCAATTGGTTGTTTTTCATGTGATAATTGCATTTATTATTTGGCTTATAATTCATTACTGGATTTAGAGCTATTTTCAAACGCACAGGATAAGATATTGATGTTTTACGAGTAAAGATAAAAGATTAGGAATTAGAATTGAAATTTTTTCTTGAATGTTTCTTGGTCATCTTCAATTAGTCACTGATTGGATAATAGATTAAGGGACAAGAATAAGTGCAATTGTTTGAAGGCAAGGGTTTACTTGAAAGGTTAATTGTGGGATTGGTTGATAAAGACAAGAACTTTTGGAAGATGCTATATATGGTTAGATAGTAAAATTGGTTTATCTGATAAGAATGGTGTAGAGTAAAAGCCTACTGCCTGTTTCTCTTCACAACTCATTGATTGAGCATCTCTTTCTTTTTAGATGCAACACTTTTTTTTCCCTCATTTCTTTCAAGTTTTTCATCTTAATTGCATTTTTTATTATCTCTTTGGAAATTATTTTATCAATAGAATTAGTTTATATTATCTTTAATAGCCTTGAAATAATATCTATAATAAACATTTTTCATTATTTTTTTATTATTTTATTATTTAAATATTAAAAATTTTTCTTAGATTTTTTTTAACACTTTGGTTGAATCCTTAAAAAAAATTTTCATCGTAAGAGTATTCAAAAAACATTCTTATTTTCTTAAAGAAGTTTCGGCATTGGATTGATTAAATATTTTTAGAAATAAATTTGAAAAAAAAAATCGAGTCATGGAATTGATGATCAGTATAGTCCCTTATATCCTTTTAAGGTTGGAGAACAATATTTATAGCTTATTTTAAAAATTGATGCTAACCTTATTAATACTTTCAAATCTCTTTACTGCGGATAAGTTAATTTTGAGACTGAAAAATCAACATGAGAATCATAACAAACACATTTAGTTTGAAGAAATAAAACTCGTTGGATAGAATTTTTACCCAAGAAATGAAGAAACGATAACTATTGACCCCAATGTGATTAATAAGATCCAAATCTTCTTGTTTCAAAATCATTAAAGATTAGAATAATCACTTTTCCCATCTCTTGCATTGAGAAATTCTGTTTTCTATTAATAAGCAATGTTATAATTATTAAACCAATGATGATTATATCTTTTATAATGTGCAAATATGTGAATTTGACCACTAAATATCAATAAAGTAATTATCAAGAAGTTTTTGTTTTGATGTGATTGGTTACATAAATAAATTCATCCTTTTAAAATGGTTTTAAGCTTGATTAAATGACTTTAAAAGAATAGATTTTGGTTTATGTTACAAAATTTAATTTATAAGGATGGTATTAACATTTTCACTGTGACAATTCAAAGGATGATATCAATTAATCTTATATTATCTTTAATAATCTTAATTAAAATGATCTCTATTCTTAATGTTTTTCATTATTTTTTTATAATTTAAATATAAAATTTTTATTAGGTTTTCTCCAACACTTTAGTTGAACATCTAAATAAATTTTTTACTTCAATAGTTTTCAAAAAAATGTGTTTGGTATTTTGCAGAGGCTTTGTCATAAGATTAATTAAATATTTTATAAAAAAAAGTCATTTTTTAAAAACTTTTTAAATAAATTTTAACAATTTCCTTTAATTTTATTGTTTGGAAATAAAGCGAAATTTTTTATTTTCTAATTTGTTTTTAAATTCATTAACGTTATGGTGGAATTTAAAAAAGTTTACTCACGTAGAAAATTTTAAGAAAATTTCACGCTCTTAAATTTCTTAAAATTCCATAATTAGTTAAATTCATCACTTATTCCAAAATTTGTTACAAATTATGTGATAAAATATGTTTACAATTATCTATTACATTCTTAACTCTTTTATCCTTTTTTATTTTATCAATTAACTTTCTATCAATTTAATTTCTTTCATTTTTATTTTTAGAAATAAATGAAAATTCGTAACATTGAAATAATTTTTTAAATTCTCTAAAATTTAGTGAAATTTAAAAAAATTGTCACTTAGAAATTTTTTAGAAAATTGCTCACCCATGAATTTTTTAAAAATTTTATCATTAGATTAGATGATGTTTCTACAATTGTTAGTTTTATATTTTCACCACAAGAATATGCAAAAGAAAGCTTGTGTTCTTAAAGTAGTTACGTCATTGAATTAATTAAATATTTTTAGAAATAATTATTTTATCATTTTTAAAACATTTTAAATTAATTTTGATATTTTTCTTTTTTATTTTGTTATTTTAGAAATAAAATATTATTTTTTAAATAGCCTAATATTTTGGTAAAATTTAAAAAAGTTTTTTGCCTTGAAATTTCTAAAAATTTACAAGTCTGCTAATTTTTTTGAACTCCATCATTAGTCATGTTCCCCATTTATTTGAAAATTTATCCCCATTTATTTGAAAATTTATCAAGTATTATGTGGTAAAAATATATATACAATTATCTATTACATTTTTAATCTTTTTATCCTTGTCTATTTTACCGATTAATTTTCTATTAATTTAAATTTTTTCATTTATTTTTAAAAATAAATGAAAATAATTGATATTGAAATAATTATTTAATTTCTCTATCATTTTGGTGGAATTTAAAGAAGTTCTCATTTAAAAATTTTCAAGAAAAGTTGCATGCCTACAAATTTTTTGAAATTTAATCATTGGTTGAATTTTTACTTATTTTAAAATTATTAAAAATAATATTAATTTATATTTAACATTATTTAATCTTATGAAAATAAAATTTTAAAATTTTGTTTTTATCAAATAATTAAAATATATATCTAAAAATTAAAATTTCAATATACATAAAAATAAATAACCAAAAAAAAAAAAAAAAAACACTGCATGAATTGCTTATTTGGCTTGGTTAGCGGCTTAATTGGCTTGTTACACAACTTAGGTTACATATGATCCTGGTCTCTCTCTAGGTGGAGGCGTGGGTTGACATGAGTTGGGCATCTCTTAGATGACTTAATTCAATATTTAGTATGAATAGTAAAAAGCAAAGAATTTTTTCAATTCATCAATTTTTTTTCTCTTTTCTCTTTATTTTCTCTTTCTATCTCCCTAAAACTCTTTTTTTTTTTTAAGGCAATAAGAAAAAGACGTCAGAAAATTCAAAGTTTTTATAGATTTTGGCATCGAAAACTTCAACTGTTTGCGACTTTCGACCTTGGTATAAATGTTTTAATCCATTAACGAACAAATTGTCTGATTGGAAAAAAAAATCAAAACTTTAAGGCAATCGACACAACAAGTGGGGCGCAAAATTTAGGAATCCAACTATCATAGGATTAGGCAAATCATTAGTGTGGGTGATGTACTTATGTCAACATCCAACAATTTAATCAATTTATAAAAAAGATATTAAAATATTTAGAAGGTATATTAAAATATATTGAAGAAGTTGATGCCACCAAAAAAAAAAAAAATCCAGATATACTTGTGGAACATGTACTCTAACAGTGTAGAATTACCCTATTAATGAGAAGGAATTATTAGCCATAAAAAAAATCAATTAATGCTTTTGAATTATATATGTATAAAATTAAAAAGAAAAGCTAGAACTTATAGAAATAAATATAAATATAGAACGAAAACTTTACATAGGATACATTAGTCACGAATTTCACCCAAAAAATATTTTATCTAAAATTTGTGAAGGATTTAGAGTAGAGGAAGAACAAAAAATAGCACAAACTAATCTGTCACTTGAAGTGAATTGGCTCATCAGATCATGAGCTTCATTTCATTAATATATAGGCTTTAAACATACAAAAGTTTGTTTAACTACTACAAGGGTTGTTTGCCTAACAGTATGGATCACCATGCACAGATCCATCATGTTACCTAAACTGATCAGATGGCAGAACCTATTACAAAAGTGCCAGTAGAAATGTCATACCTAGTTGCTTCAACCACTAACACACTAACACTCCTCCTTGGCATTTCTGCTGGAAACATCAAGACTTTTCCTCAATGTTTCAAACCTTGCCTTTGGTAAGGCTTTGGTCAGAATATCTGTAATTTGATCTTCTGACTTGCAATGCACCAGTTTCACTTCATTCTCAGCTTCAACTTCTCTAATAAAGTGATACTTGATCTTAATATGCTTAGTTCTTCCATGAAACACATGGTTCTTAACCATTGCAATTGCTGATTGATTATCACAAAAAATTTCTGTTGGATCATCTTGCTTTTGACTCAAATCCATCAGAATTTTTCTTAGCCAAATTGCTTGATTAACAGCAGCTGTAGCAGCTATATACTCTGCTTCTGCTGTTGATTAAGCCACAGTTCCTTGTTTCTTTGAATTCCAGCTGAACACATTTAATCCAATGAAAAACACATAGCCTGAAGTGCTTTTCATGTCTTCATGAGAGCCAGCTCAGTCACTGTCTGTGAATCCAACCAATCTTGAACTTTCATTCTTCTTGAACCAAATTCCAAGTTCACTAGTTCCTTTGACATATCTCAATACTTTTTTTGCAGCCTTAAAATGTAACTCACTAGGATTTTGCATGAACCTAGAGAGTAAATTTGCAGCATACATGATGTCTGGCCTTGTTGCTGTCAAATACAATAAGCAACCAACCAAGCTTCTATAAATAGAATCATCAACTTTGTTATCTCCATCTTCCTTAATAAGTTTCTCATTTTGAGCCAAAGGAGTGTTGACTGGTTTGCAATTTTCCATCCCAAACTTATTCAAGATTTCATTTGCATATTTTCTTTGACAAATGAAGATTCCTTGTTGGTCTTGATGAATCTCCATTCCAAGAAAATAAGACATTTCTCCCATATCTGTCATCTCAAAAATTTCCTGCATTTGGAGCTTAAAATCTTCCACAAGAGCAGATTTGCTACCTGTCACCAAAAGATCATCAACATACAAAGAAACAATCAACAGATCATTACTGTTAAAAACTTTAATGTACAATGTTGCTTCACTGAGGCTTTTCTTGAATCTTAACTTCAGTAAATGATCATCAATTCTGGAATTCCACACTCTTGGAGCTTGTTTTAATTCATACAAAGCCTTATTGAGTAGATAGACTTTGCCTTCATGTCCCTTGGCAACAAAACCATCATGTTGTTCAATGTAAATCTCCTTTTCAAGATAACCATTCAAGAAGGCAAATTTGACATCAAGTTGGTATATTTTCCAACTTTGCTGAGTTGCTAAGGCTAATAGCAGCCTTATGGTGTCCAACCTTGCAACTGGAGCAAATGTCTCTGAAAAATCAACACTAAGCTGCTGGGAATAGCCTTTAGCTACCAATCTAGCTTTAAGTTTGTTGATGGAACCATCAGCATTCAACTTTGTTCTGAAAATCCATTTAACACCAATGATGTTTTTGTTGCTTGGTCTGTCAACCAGCATCCATGTTTAATTTTTCTCAATCATTTGAATCTCCTCCTTCATGGCATTTTTCCGCTCTGAAATTTTGACAGCTTCTTCAAAGCTTGCAGGTTCAAGAATAACAACATTTGATCTTTGATAAATATCTATGAGTGGTCTGATTCCTCTCACTGGTTCATGATCAATGATTTCATTTTCAAATATATAATCTTCTTGATCTTGAAAGCTTATCATGTCTGCAGCAGTTTGCTTGACTGATTCTCTCTTTAACTTTTCCCAATTCCAGGCAGCTTGCTCATTAAATCTCACATTCTTACTTACAATCATCTTGCCTGTAAGTGGATTGTAAGTCCTATAGCCTTTGGTGATGTTGCTATAGCCCAAAAAAATACATATTTCTGCTTTTTGATCAAGCTTGTCCCTTTTGATATCAGGAACGAACACATAACAGATGCTGCCAAAAACTCTGAGGTGGTGCACTGATGGTTTGCTTCCATACCAGGCTTCGAAAGGAGTGTTTCCCTTCAAAGCTTTTGTGGGTAGCCTGTTGAGCAAGTAGACAGAGGTATTGACTGCCTCTGCCCAAAATTTCTTTGAAAGATTCTTCTCAAACAGCATGCATCTTGCCATCTCCATGATTGTTCTATTCTTCCTTTCATTGACTCCATTTTGTTGTGGAGTGTAAGTTGCTGTCAGTTGGTGTTCAATTCCTACAACTTGACAAAACTCATTAAATTTGTCAGATGTGTATTCAGTACCATTGTCTGACCTTATGATCTTGATTTTACAGCCACTTTGATTCTCAATCCAAGCCTTGAACTTTCAAAATACATTTGCAACTTCAGACTTTTGTTTCATGAAGTAAATCCAACACATTCTGGTAAAATCATCTATAAAAGCAATGAAATATCTACTGCCATTCAAAGATAAGGTTCTCATAGGACCACAAACATCAGTATGAACAAGTTATAGTTTTTCAATTGCCCTCCATGCTTTGTTAATTGCAAATGGCAACTTACTTTATTTTTCTAGCTGACAAACTTCACACACTCCAGCACTGACTTCAACGTAGGCATGTTTAATACAAGATCATTTTTATGCATGAAATTCAATGCATTGTAATTGAAATGTCTCATCCTTTTATGCCATAAAGAAGATTCATCATGTGAAGTAGCATACGCAGAGGAGTTTGCTTCATGCCAATTCAAGGAAAAACATTTTCCTTTCATATTAACAGTAAAGAGTTCATGGCCAGTGGGATCATGAATTATGCATGCCTTGTCTTTGAAAACTAAAGAGTAGTTATTTTCTAGCAACTGTCCTACACTTAACAGGTTTTGATCTATTTTAGGCACAAATAACACATCTGAAATGAGTTTGGTACCTGTTGGTGTCTCAACTGTCACTACTCATTTTTCTTTGACTTCTATAAAATCACCATTACCTATTCTGACTTTAGAGGTACAGGTCTTGTCTAGTTCTTTGAACATGTTGATATCAGATGCCATATGGTGTGTGCAACCACTGTCAATGAGCCATGCACTTGAGGAGGTTCTGGTTCCATAGCAAGTTGCAACAAAAACTTGCTCTTCTAGCTATTGTTGATTGTCAGCAACTCTAACTTGTTGATCTGACTGCTGCTGTTTTTTGTTTTTACATACCTTCTCCATGTGACTAAGCTACTTACAGTACCTACATTGTATGTCAGGTCTGTACCAGTAATATTTCTCCAAGTGAGTGGTCTTTTTACAATGAGAGCAAGGTGGGAATTTTCTTTTCTTTTCATTGTTTCTAGAACCTTTGTTTCTTCGATCTCCTTGTTTTCTGCCTTTGCTTTCTGTTTGCATCTTGCCTTTTTCCTTGGCTGTAAAAGCACTTTCTGTTGAATCCTCTTGTCTGATAGCCCTTCTTTGCTTTTGAGCTTGTAAAATATTGAACAATTCTACTGGAGTTATCTTGGTCAGGTCCTTGGAGTCTTCAAGGGATGAGATTTTTGACTCAAACCTCTCTGGCAAGCTGACAAGAACCTTCTCTACAATTCTTTTATCTGACAGCTCTTCACCAAGTAATCTAATCTTGTTTACTATCTTCATAAGTCTGTCATTGTACTTCTTTAAATTTTTAAACTCCTTCATCTTTAAGACTTCAAACTCTCTTCTAAGATTCAACATTTGCATTTGTTTTGTCTTGTCACTACCTTGAAACTCTTCCTTGAGCACATCCCAAGCTTGTTTTGCAGTTTCACAAGTCATGATTCTAATGAATATGTCATCAGAAACTGAAGACTCTATACAGCTTTTAGCCTTGTACCTCTTTGCTTTTTCTTCACTATAATTTTTCATTTGAGTTACTGTTGGATTTGCAGGAAGTTGTGGTGGTTCCTTCTCATTTTTCACCACTTCCCACAAATCAAAAGCACTCAAACAAGTCTTCATTTTGACAGCCCATATATGGTAGTTCTCACCAGAAAAATAAGAGGTGGAGGTATGGAGCAATTGCTTGAGGCCATTTAAGGTTGACAAAAGCTGGCTAGTAAGTGTTTGATGGCTTTTCACTCAATTTTTTGGAACTCACAGGTCCTCTAAGACCTTAAAGAATGCTCTGATACCAATTGAAGGATTTAGAGCAGAGGAAGAACAAAAAATAGCAAAAACTAATTTGTCACTTGAAGTAAATTGGCTCATCAGATCATGAGCTTCATTTCATTAATATATAGGTTTTAAACATACAAAAGTTTGTTTAACTACTACAAGAGTTGTTTGCCTAACAGTATGGATCACCATGCACAGATCCATCATGTTACCTAAACTGATCAGATGGCAGAACCTATTACAAAAGTGCCAGTAGAAATGCCATACCTAGTTGCTTCAACCACTAACACACTAACAATTTGCCTAACCTTTGTTGATTTTTTAATTGTAGAACCTTGTGAACTTTAACAACTCACTAATAAAATAATCCTATTAAGGAGTCCATTAACTTTCTTAATTAGTAATATGCGTATTAGAAAAAAATTACCACGGAGATATAAGCCACAGAGAAATATACCAAGATCAGATTCAGTACTGGTGGGGTTGTTGGTTGTGTTCCACTTTTAGTTCAAGTTTTTTTGAGTTTATCCCTATATCATTTTTGCACATAATCTCTCTGTTTTTGCAGGTCAAAGGTCAAAAGCCATGTCCGTCGTTGAAGCTGCTTTATCTGTGTTCTTTGAAGGGTTGTTTAGTAATTTGGCCTCTTCTGAGTTTCTCAACTTTGTAACTGAGAAGGAAGTTTGCGAGGAGCTCAAGAAGTTGGAAAAGACATTGCGCAATATTCATGCAGTGCTAAATGACGCCGAAGAGAAGGAAATGAATGATGGGGGTGTGAAGAGTTGGTTGGTCCAGCTCCAAGACTTGGCATACGATGCGGATGACATGTTGTTTGCTACAGAAGCTTTGAGACTCAAGTTAACGAGGGAACATCAAGATCACCGCCCAAGGAAGTTACAAAAGCTTGTTGATGCTTGCTTTCCCTGGTTAAGGGGTCATAATTTATCATTTAATAAGGAAATGATGTCCGAGATACAAGAGATCACTGCTAGATTTCTAGATTTAGAAGCAGATATAAGTCTCTTGGCTTTGACGAAAAATGGTGGTGGAAGGCCCAAGAGAACATTGGAATGGCGATCAACCACTTGTTTGGTGAATGAAACTCAAGTCTACCGTCGGGAAAAAGACAAGGAAACAATCCTTGACTTGATTTTTGGGAGTGATGAGCGCAATAAATTTTCTGTGATTCCCATCATTGGCAAAGGAGGGATTGGCAAAACAACGCTTGCTCAGCTTGTCTACAATGATAGGCGTGTAGTTAAGCATTTCGATTTTCAAGCATGGGTATGTGTTTCTGACGATTTTACGATGGAGGAGATAACGAAATCAAATTTTGCAATCAGTTAGTCCTGAATCTTTTAATGTTGGAGATGATTTGAATAACCTTCAAAAAAAACTGAAGAAGAAGCTGGAGGGAAAAAAACTATTTCTGATTTTGGATGATCTTTGGCATGAAAACTATGATGATTGGACTCGTCTAATATCCCCTTTGGCATGGGAGCTACGATTGTTGTGACAACACGTGGTCAAAGTGTTTCATTAATGGTGGGTACTATCCGAGGTTACAAGCTGCCGGAGTTGTCAGATGGTGATTGCATTTCTATATTAACTCAACATGCATTAGCAAAAGATTTCAGTGGGCATCCGAACTTAAAAAGAATTTGGTGTACAGATTGTGAAGAGGTGCAAGGGATTGCCCTTGGCAGCTAAGACCATTGGAGGCCTTTTCCGCAATAAGGTGGATATCGGTGAATGGGAAAAGATACTAAAAAGTGAGATTTGGAATTTACCAGCAGGGAGGAGTAACATAATTACATCTTTACGATTAAGCTATAATCATCTTCCTGCAGATCTAAAGCGATGTTTTGCTTACTGTGCCATACTTCCCAAAAACTATGAATTTACCGAGGAAGAAATAGTCTTATTACGGAAGGCAGAAGGCTTTCTGCGAGTGGAAGCTACAAAGCAAAATGAAGATTCGGGTCATGAGTACTTTCAAGAACTTGTACGGAGGTCATTTTTTGAAGTATCCAACAAGGATGAGTCTCGATATATAATGCATGATCTGATTAATGATTTGGCTCAATCAGTTGCCAAAGATATATGCTTCAGAGTGGAGGGTGACAAGGCATTGAAAGTTTCCAGTCATGCTCGCCGTTCATCTAACATTGGTGGTAGGAAAGACGGAATTAAAAATTTCCAAGTCTTTAACGGAAAGAAGGGTTTAAGAACCTTCCTACCTTTGAAGATGCCTGGAGGGTGGTGGAATTTCTCTAATCAAGTTCTCAGTGAGTTGTTGCCAGAATTTAAATACTTGAGGGTGTTGTCTTTACAATGGTGCTACCTGACGGAGTTTTCCAATATTATTGGAGATTTGGTGCATCTGCGTTACCTAAATTTTTCTGGCACTCTAATCGAAATTCTGCCGGATTCAATATGCAAGCTTTACAATTTAGAGACCTTGCTGTTGCGGGGGTGTTCTCGTCTTGAAGAGTTTCCTTCTGAAATGAGAGTTTTAATTAACCTAAGGCATCTTGACATTACAGGTGCACGTTCAATAAAAATGATGCCAATGGGAATCGGCGAACTAACCAATCTTCAAACATTGACAAATTTTGTTGTGAGTCAAGACAATGGCAGTAAGATAAGGGAGATGGAGAATTTGTCTAATCTTAAGGGTGGACTTGTTATTTCAGAATTGCAGAATGTTGTCAAAGCTCAAGATGCATGGGTGGCTGGGTTATGTTATAAGTCGAACCTTCGGATTTAGCTTTGAAGTGGAGTTACAATTTTGCAGGAGAAGAAATTCACAAGGACGTGTTGAATTCACTCCTACCTCCTAAAATGCTTGAAAGGCTCACCATCGAATGTTATGGAGGTGAAACATTCCCAAATTGGATTGGAGATCCTTCATTTGAAAACCTATAGATTCTGGATCTGGATTACTGTCCAAATTGCACATTATTACCAGCTGTTGGAAGATTACCATCGCTAAAATCGCTTTCTATCCGGAGGATGAATAAGGTAAAAAATGTGGGTGCTAATTTTTTTGGAAAGGATCAGTCGCTTAATGCGTTCCCGGCATTAGGGAGATTATGTTTTGATGACATGCCAGAATGGGAGGAATGGGATCCTTATGAAGTTGATGAAAATGTAAGGAGTTTCCAACACCTCCATGAGCTCATCATTTCAAATTGCCTCAAGTTGTTAGGAAGTTTACCTAATCGTCTTCCTTCCTTGACTAAGCTAGAGATTAAATTGTGTCAACAACTGAGAAGTCTACCTAGTTGTCTTCCTTTATTGGAGAAACTTGTGATTCAAAAATGTGAGCAGTTGGTGGTTTCACTCTCAAGCCTTCCAAAGTTGTCTGACTTAAAAATTGATGGGTGCAAAGAGGTGGTGTCTACAAATTGTACCAATTCTGGCTCATTCATGGAAACAGTCTCTCTTTCAAACGTTTCAAAATTCACTTCTCCAATGGAGGGGATGATGTTAGGGTTGATAAAAGTAGAACATCTTTTTATACGTGGATATGAGGAACTAATTTCTTCATGGCTGAACAACGAAGGACTCTCAACATATTTGAGGCCTCTTCGCTTTTTGGAAATTCACAATTGTTCAAGACTTGTTTCCATAGGTGCAGAGGACGAAAAGGAAGAGCATATGCAATTAGGAATCCCTCGCCATATTGAACATTTGACCATACAATATTGTGAAATGCTAGAAAGGCTATCAGAAAGCATAAATAGCTGCAGATCCCTGACGGTGCTACGAATTGAAGGATGCCCAAGATTGATTTCAATTTCAAATGGAAACTTGCCTCCAAATGTAAGACGTTTAACTATCACGCTGTATGAGAATTTTCTGTACTTGCTGGATGGAGTAAATAACAACATCAACAGCACGCGTCTTCTAGAGCACTTGGTAATTGGAGGTTGTAAGTCTCTGATATCTTTATCCTCAAGGGGCGAGTTACCTATTAGTCTTCAACATGTTGACATTTATTCTTGTGAAAAGTTGACATTCTTGTCAGCCAATGGCAAGTTACCTATGGGGCTTAAATACCTCCGGATTAATTATTGCCCAGCACTAGAGTCCATACCTCAAGATATTGAAGAGAACTCTTCCCTTGAATTGATAACTATCGACGGTTGCGATAATTTGAATTCTTTGCCTCGTGGATTAAACAAGCTCATCCATCTTGGGGAGATTCCTATTGGGCGTTGTTCAAGTTTGATTTCATTCCCAGGAAGTGTGTTATTAACCACCAAACTCAGAAAGCTTCACCTTTCCGGGTGTGAAAAACTCCAGGCCTTACCCAACTGCATCCACAACATCGTCTCTATGCGAGAATTGTTCATATTTGATTGTCCAAGTGTGATATCATTTCCAAAAGAGGGGTTCCCTCTGTTGGGAATAATGACTCAAATCCCATAAGAGATTTGTTTGAGATTTGTTAAAGATTTGTTTGAAATTTGTCAGATATTGCTTGATGGACAAGAAGACTTGCAAAAGAAGAATTCCAAGAGAAAGATGATTCTTAATAGGTAAGTTTAACTTGCAAGAGAAGAATTCTAAAAGGAAATGGATTCTTAATAGGCAAGTTTGACTTACAGGAGAAGAATTCTAAGAGGAGAGGGATTCTTAATGGGCAAGTTTGTATGGTTATAAATAGGTGAAGTCTCTACAGGGTTAGGTATGAGAAAAAGATGTAAGAGAGTTGTAGGGTTTTGTGGGGATAGACACCCCATAGGAGTATTGGAGCTCTACGTCTTATGGGTATGTATGTTTGTTTGTGAGTGGACTAGAGGAGATTGAGAGGGTACACATAGGTATGATGTATGGGAACATATGGGTATGTGTTTGGTTGTGTTGAAAAGGTGCACAAGGGTTTGGGTTTGTGTTTGTTTGGGTTGAGAATACTCTATAGGACTAGAGGAGATTGAGAGTGTCTTATGAGTATTGATTGTTGAGTGAGGTTGATGATTTGATGTATGTTTGTAATTCTCTACAACTAGTGGATCTTTTTTCTCATCCGTGGATGTAGGTCAATTGGACTGAACCACGTTAAATTGTTGTTTCTTATGTGTTTGCTTTATTGTTTGATTTCGCTTCCGTTGGTGTGATTGGATTGGAGGCTTTTAGCCCAACATCCTCCCAATCTCACTGCACTTCAAATGTGGCAACCCAATATTTGCAAGTCAGTGATCGAGTGGGCTTTGCACAAACTAACCTCCCTTAAACATTTGTCCATCAATGGTGCTTCTCTAGATGTAGTGTCATTCCCATGTGAGGAAATGCTTCTGCCCCGCACTCTCACCTCCCTCACCATCTGCGGTTTTCAAAACCTAGAAACTCTATCCTCCAAGGGCTTTCAAAATCTCAAGTCTCTTGAATCATTGGGCATCCATAGTTGCCCCAAGCTCAAATTCCTTCCGGAAAAGGAGATGTTTGACTCACTTTTGCAACTCGAAATTTCTAGATGTCCATTGCTAGAAGAACGATGCAAGAAGGATGGAGGTCAAGAGTGCCCAAAATAGCCCACATACCTTACATTGGAATTAATACTTGTTTCTTAACATAGCCCACATACCTTGCATTGAAGTTTGAAGCAGCTTCATGTTAATTTGTTAACGGAAGGAACGCCAAGAAATAAGGTACATGTCACTTTGCAATTATAGCTACTTATTTGAAGAACATTAACGTACTATTAAATCAAGTGATCAAGTGATTTATTTTCATGATTATTGTTTTTTCGATTCCCTATAAAAGGTTCATTAGTTCAATCCCTTATACACAGCTTTTTGTTTTACAATGAAATGGAAAATATATATATAAAAAAAAAATCTATGTTTAATAAAAATGAAATTCATTAAAATTAAAATTGGACTAAATCAATAGGATTGAGATAGTTGAGGGACAAATTTCAAGAGCAGAACAGATGTGTTAAATGTTTATATCTATTAATCATTTTGTCTCATTGACATCTGATTTTTTTTTTTTTTTTGGCCGAATCATTCAAGAATGGTTTCAGTTATTAAATGCTTGTTATTTTCTTATACGCGTGAAGATTAATTTGATATCTAATTTTGGTTTCAGTCAGTTGGAAGTTGCAGAGGCCAGTCGGTAGTGCCTTTACAGGAGCACACAAAGTGGTTTGCAAAAGCAGATGGAAAGACCTGAAAAAGATAAATGCTGTTTACTTAGCAGAAGTATGGATTGCCTTCACTGCCGTCAAATTGACCATATGGCCGCCTGAATGAGTCAATACCAAAATCTCTGCCTCAATCCCATTGAGAACTCAATTTCTTATAAATGATGAGATATTAAAGATTTATGCCAGACTTGGGAGTGAGGACAGTGTCAGTGGCGCAAAAATTCCCCCAAAGGAAACATTGTTTCCTATGAAAGTGGTAAGTTATTACTTATTTCCGGGGTTCTGAAATTTTTTCAAACGTTCTCCTTTTATGGCGAAGGAAAATAATTTGTATTTTATGTTTTAGGTACAATATTTTTGTCTTTTAATCTGAATAAGGTGCTCTTCCAGAATCAGCAATTAGTGCATTGAACATTCCATATCCTTGAATCATGTTCTACCATCTATAATCCATGTATCATACTCGAGTATATAGATTCCATGTTTATGATAGAAACCATATATTATAAGAAATCATGATACTTAGCATAATGAAAACTTCCAGCCTTGCTAGGATTCCTTTCTCTTTTTTTTTTTCTCCCTTTTTTGGTACTACCATTTTTATCCGAAATGCTTCTAAACAAAAATCTGATGTAGTGGAACTTGTCTGACAGGACGAAATAACTTCAATTCATTGGTGGTTTCGAAGTTGTTAGGGCAGCAGCTCCTTTCCTACAACAGAAATCTTTCCTCCTCCGTGTCAGGGGTCCAAGCATAAATGATGAGATAGGGTAACAACTTTATCAAGCAGGTAAAATTGGCTGAGCTGGGACCTTCTGTAAAAGCCAAATTGATACTCTAAATGTAAGTGTTAAAATTCTTTGTAATATTATTCTGTTGTGCAATAATGTTTGGAAGTTTCATTCCACTGTAGCTCAATTCTTCATATTGATGCATAACATATCCTTTCCATAAAACATTGATCAGCAGCCTTTGTTTTTCCGATGATCGTTTCTTTCAGCTCGGTGGAGCCACAAGTTAAAATCTTTGCCTGATTGAGCTTTTGAAGAATTTGAGGTTGTATGATAAACAATGTAAAGCAACACAGCTTCATGTGGTTTTGTTTTATACTTGCTTTGAAAACTGTTTGCCTTTATGTATGAAGTTTTAACCCTTTATAATAGTGACTAAACATTTTGTTATTGCTTCTTAGATCTTTATAAGCATTCTGGCTCGGTATAAAGAAACATCTACGTTGATCGAGACAAAGTGCTTAAGCTGGTAAGCTCGAGTATTGGTTTGAGGAGCTCATTTCAATCATCAAATCAGGGGTATGTCCTCTCTTGACATAAAAGAACACAAACTCAAGCATCCATTTTATTCTGCAGAAGCTTATAAATAATTATTCTCAATTTATTCTGCAGAATTTCAGCTCAATTTGAAAGGAGCTTGCGAAAAAGGCCTGTTTCCAAAGGAGTCTAAATTGAATTAGTATGCTACTCCAATAACTGTCTCATACCTTATGCAAACCCTGAATAATACTTCCTTCAAAATGAACGCAAAAAACATCAAAGCTTCTTTTAGCCAATTTTTGGACCTTGAATTTCTAATGCAACCCATAACTATTGCTATGTTCAAACAACTGAACTCGGGATATCAGTATTTGTCAACTGGCTACAGTGGGATCACAATTCTAGCATGTGTCATGCTCTCATGGAGGAAAACCATCCCTTACAAGCTTAAAATTTACCCATTGTATCAGAACTTTTGTTTTCTGTTGGTAATTTTCATTTTCTCTCTTTTTTTCCATGTTCACATTCTGTTTCAGTACAGAACTAGGTTCCAAAATGTCATTGAGTATCAAAACTTGAAACAAAAAGAAACCATAGATATTTTAAATGCTGGAAAGTTATGTTGTCTCACAAATAATGCAACCTATCCAAATGCCTGTGAACCGAAATATATCATTTTTATAAACCGAATGCCTGTAAACCAAAACATATCACTTTCATCAAGTGAACATAAAATAAATTGACAGCAAACAAAGGAAGCGCTCAAACTTCTTACTGTGCAAGGTAATAATACTTTGTACCTCTTGCATTTGAACTTTTTGCGTACTCCTTTTGTATTCGTGTTCGACACTTTAACACTTCCGGTATACATACCAGAACATGTTGGAATACTGTTGAATTTGACCAGATACAGCA